GCCATCGCCTTGATTTCTTAGATGAAAGTGAAGGGTGACTTTTAAATGTGTGACCTGGTCCAATGCATTCTCTCCTTCTAACTGGGGAGGAGGGTTGTTATTGATAAGGATTATCAAAATGAAAAAAACAGATAGTTCTGAGGCGTGATCTTACTCTCTTTGGATTCAAAAATCCTCTAGGATACAACAGAAATCAAACTCTCTCAAAAACTAGATGTAGAACTTTAACTTTGTATAGGAATTTATATTGATTGAAAAGCCACTACTTGTAGGGATGTATCCCTTCAGAAAGATACCATTTCATAGAGGTACCTTTAGACTTCCAAAAGTTATCCAATATTCAGACATGTCTTTTCAGATTAAAATTTAATAAATTAAATTAAAAATCCGAAAATAAAAAATAAATATTTTGGAAGTCAAGCCCCAAGTGCCCATCTTTGACTATATATAAAGGGGAAGGCCCAATTTATCTTGGGCTTCACTTTATTTATCTATTTGTTGATAACAAATAAGCCTTTATAAATTCCTTTAATTTCTCATATTTTCTTGATGTGGGACCTTAACATTTGCAAACTACTCAACATAGCTTGTTTAGATCTTCTTGAGATTCTTTTAACTGCAACATTTAAATCCCTCAAGAAGCCTTTACAAACTGCTTCAAACCCTCCCTCGCCAAGCTTCTCTTCATCCACAAAACTCTCTGTTGTTTTAGCTGATTCATCATATAAGAACTCCCTAGGTTCCATGTCGTTTCCAAATTCATCATCGAAAGACATATTAAAAGCAAGAACATCTAGTTTGCCTTTTGATCCTTTCTCCCAAAAAAAGAACAGGCTTAAATCGATGATAGAAAATACAGCCAATGCTGCAATGGTTATACCTACCAGTAATCGTGTCCTATTCTTTCTTGCTTCAGAAGTTCAGGGATCAAAAGCTGCATCTAGAGCAAGTGCAAAGATAGTTGGGTCTGTAGCAGCAGAGCTTGTTTTAAATATTGGTGAGGCAAGGGACTGGTGTTTAGGCTGTTTGTTTGGAAGGAAAATCCCCTAGTGTTTATCCAGTTCTGGCTCTTTCTTATTCTCATCGAAAATGGCAAAAATCTAAGTTACAATAAGCTTTTTAGAATTGTTTGGTGTCCCCCTCTTCACATGTTGTATCAGATTGAAGATGTTAAGTCCTGCAATACCCAATGGTTGCTGCCATTCCACCAGCTGAGGGACAACCAGTCTCAGATATCACAATATCCAAAGAAACCCCACCAAACCTTTTAAGCGCAGCATAAAAAGATTGCTGTATTGTAAATGACGATCTAAAAACACATGCAACGGAGATGTGAAGAGAGCAAAATCAAGACTCATGTCATTGGAGTTGTTAATGTAACTAAAATATGGATTCATATTTACAAGTAATGGGGCTGAACTGTTCACTCCGAAGTGGATGACAGGATCAAGCATCGGTTTGTATTCTGATCTAAAACAGCAATTTGATGGTGGAAAATATGATCCAATAATGCTTGTGTTGATTGTTGTGGATATTTCGATGTCAAGTCCAACCGCTAAAACTGAATTTTGAATCTTCTGCATTGCGAGGACGCGCATATGAATCATAGATTCATAAGGCCTTACTAAAACTAAGTTCCCTACAGCAGTATAGTGAAATTTTATGTCACCATAGTTCTTGACATATTTCTGAATCCATGCCTCCGCATTGGCTTGACTGGCAGCAATCTGTTGAAGTTCATAGTTGAGAACACCAAGCGTTGACCTCAATGTTGGAGCCTCTAAGAGCTTGGAGAGCATACAGATCTGGAAAATAGAATTTCATTCTTTGGATGTTACTCTGCTTGTAGAGAGCAACAACTTCTGTTGCGTGTGGTAAGTTGCTTCCAAGCATTCCACAACAAATGCCTATACGGGAATATGCTGGCAGGGAACTAGAGCTTGGCAGCACCTTCTAGTGCTTGATAAGGAGGTGAACTGATAGATCCATCGATTTCACCATTATATGTGCACCAGGAGAAATTACCAAGAAATTGCAGCAAGCATGTAGAAACTACTCTGTAGCACCACCAACTACAATAGGCCAGTGCAACTTTGTCAAAAGTGGCCACCCAAGTCCACGAAAATGGCTAACTCCCAACTATATTTTGCTTTACATTTATTACCTTAATTGGATTTTGCCTATAAATAGCTATGTTGTATACATCAGTTATCATCAAATTTTAATCAAAATTTCAGTTTATAATTCTTTTCTGTTGAGTGAGTTTTGAGAGTGAATTTCTCTCAATTTATCTTTGTATCTTAAGTCTTGCCAACTTAAGTGGTGATCCTGACAATCAAATTTGTTGTAGTGGGATTTTAAATCTTGCTAAAATCAATGTTTTGGTATCGGCTCTTGCGCCATTTGGTATCAGAGCCAATATATTTGAAGTATGCATGTCATTCTAAGCGTTCTGGTGAAAATCCGATCGCCGGAAAGTGTCGCACGCGCCACTGCCGTTGTCTCATGCGCCAACCACGCGTCCACTGCAATTTGCGTGAAATACACGTGCAGGTCATCTTCAACCCAGCACCTGCCACCTCATCACACCACCTCATCACCATGTCATTGCCACGCCATTGCCACCTCATCACCACGCCATTGCCACATCACTATTTGCCACGTCATCTTCACCACATCACCAGCCATGTCAGTGACACGTCATCACCACAGTCGCCCCTTGCCACATCATCAAGTCCCTCTACTTATTTTTACCTTACAGATTGGCCCTTATACTTTTATAAATTTTAAATTATCCCCACTTCCAAAAACTAACTTTCCCAAAAAGCCACTTACCAACCTAAACTCAACATGCCTCCTAGAAGACAAAATCCTCCTCGTCAATGAGCTATTCGAGACATAGAGATGGAAGAACTACGTCAACAAACTCAAAGGCTTCAAGAAAGACTTGAAGCTTTTGAGGGTCAACAAGCTCAACACTTGCAAGATGAACCCCACGAGTTAGAGGAATATACTGACAATGAGAATCCTTTCCATCACCTAAGGGATAATGAAAGCTCATCATCAACAGAAAGAGTTCGTCGTCGACGTCCCCAACGTCCCCAACAAAATGTTGCTCCCAAATCCACTAACCTTGGCATCAAAATCGATATTCCAGATTTTGAAGGTCGCCTTCAACTAGATGAATTTATCAATTGGTTGCACACTATAGAACGTGTGTTTAAACTCAAGGATATTCTTGACAACAAGCGTGTAAAGCTCGTCACCATCAAATTAAAGAAACATGCATCCATTTGGTAGGAGAATCTCAAATGTAGTCGAGAAAGAGAAGGCCGCAACAAATTAGAACTTGGGAGAAAATGCATCGGGAACTCACTCGTAAGTTCTTACCTAATTGTTACTATCAAGATAATTTTGTTAAATTTCATAACTTGCAGCAAAAATCTTTGACTGTGGAAGAATACACTATGGAGTTCGAACAATTAATGATGAAGTGTGATGTTCGAGAAAAGGAAGAGCAAACCATAGCCTGATATCTTGGAGGATTGGACTATGACATTTCCAAAGTTGTTCAACTTCAACAATATTTGACTTTGGATGATGTAATTTGGCTAGCATTAAGGGTTGAAAAGCAAATCTCAAAGAAGAATATCACTAGTGCTTTAAAATCGCGAGATTTTGGAGCCAGCCAAGGGACTCAAGCCTCAAAAACTGTTGCCAAGACCCTTGCCAAGGCTGAGAAGGAAGTTAGCTCGAGCCGTCCAGCTCAATCTAACACTCGAAAGTGTTTCAAGTGTCAAGGATTTTGCCACATAGCCTCCAATTGTCCAAATAGGAGAGCTGTCACCATTATCGGAGGAGAAATTCATGAAGCCTTAAAAGATGAAGTAGAAAAGGAGCAAAATGATGAAACTGAGTCACCACAGCTTGAGGAAGAACTCATCCCAGCTGACCATGGAGAATCTTTGGTTGTGCATTGTAGTCTTCATGCTACCATAACCAAGGATGAAGATTGGCTTTGACATAACATCTTTCACACTAGATGTACTTCTCAAGGGAAAGTTTACAATGTCATCATCGACAATGGAAGTTGTGAGAATGTTGTGTCCAATTATATGGTTGAGAAGCTAGGATTGCCTATCAAAGATCATCCCCATCCATACAAGCTACAATGGCTATGAAAAGGAAAGGAGGTAAAAGTAACTAAACATTGCCTTGTGTCTTTTTCTAGTGGTAATAGGTACCAAGATGACGTATGGTGTGATGTTATTCCCATGGATGCTTGTCACTTGTTACTTAGTTGCCCTTGGCAATTTGACCGAGAGGCTATCCATGACGGCCATGCCAACACCTACTCGTTTGTGAAAGATGGTGTGAAGATCAAGCTCACTCCCCTGAAAGCCTGAAGAAACACTTGAAAAGAAGGATGAGGACAAGGCTTTAATCTCCAAATCAACCTTTTAGAAGTTGCACCAAGAATCACGAATAGCATGTCTCCTATTATTATCCAAAGTAAATGATGCCACTTGCCCTTTTCTGAAAGAGATCCGATCTCTCCTTTAAGAATTTTCTGATGTTGTTCCTGATGAGATCCCTCATGGATTACCACCAATGAGAGACATTCAACATGCCATTGATTTCATCCGAGGATCTGTCATTCCAAACAAGCCTGCTTATCAGATGAACCCTCAAGAGTATGCGGAACTTCAACGACAAGTCAAAGAGCTGATAGAGAAAGGACTTGTCAAGGAAAGTGTTAGCCCATGTGCCGTGCCTGTACTACTAGTCCCAAAGAAAGATGGAACTTGGAGAATGTATGTAGATAGTCGAGCAGTCAACAAAATCACTATCAAGTACCGCTTCCCAATTCCACACCTTGATGATATGCTTGATCAACTGCATTGAGCTACTGTCTTCTCAAAGATTGATTTGAGAAGTGGATATCACCAGATTCGAATGCGCCCCGGTGATGAATGGAAGACAGCATTCAAAACTAGAGATGGTTTGTACGAGTGGACAGTCATGCCATTCGGATTGTCTAATGATCCTAGCACTTTCATGCGCCTTATGAACTAGGTATTTTGACTCTTCATTGGGAAATTTGTTATGGTTTACTTTGATGATATATTGGTATATAGCAAGAATGAACAAGAGCACCTAGACCATCTCCGGCAAGTTTTTGAAGTCCTTAAAGAGTAGAAACTTTATGCTAATCTCAAGAAATGTTCCTTCCTCACTACAAGTGTGACGTTTCTTGCATACATCATCACTGCTCAAGGTATCAGGATGGATCGTAGTAAGATTGATGCTATTATCAATTGGCTTACACCAACATCCATGCATGATGTTTGAAGTTTCCATGGCTTGGCATCTTTTTACCGAAGATTCATCAAGAATTTCAGTTCTATTGCCTCCCTAATCACTGATAGCATTAAGGGTGACAAAATTTCATGGAGCGACAAAGCCCAAAAGAGTTTTGAAGGATTGAAGAGGAAGCTCACTGAAGCCCCTGTACTTGCACTTCCCAACTTTGACTTGATGTTTGAAGTAGATTGTGATGCTTCTAATGTTGGAATTGGTGCAGTGCTAAGTCAAGAAGGACAACCCATTGCCTTCTTTAGTGAAAAGTTCAATGACACAAAGCTTAGATATTCCACCTATGACAAACAATTCTATGCAATTGTTCGAGCCTTGGAGCATTGGAGTCAGTATCATCTTTCAAAAGAATTCATCTTGCACTCTGACCATCAGGCATTGAAGCACTTGAATTCTCAACAGTAGATCAGTCGTCGACATGCTGCTTGGAGTGAATTCCTACAAGCTTATCCTTTCCTCCTCAAATACAAATCTGGAGTCCAGAATCACGTAGCTAATGCTCTTAGTCACTGACATGCCTTGCTTGCTTCCTTACAAATGAAAGTCACTGGATTTGAAGTGATCAAGGAGTTGTATAAGGATGATCCTGATTTTAGCAGCATTTGGGAAGCCACTTCTAATCAAGCCTTTCAGCAATATCACTGCCAGCAAGATTACCTCTTCAAGGGTAACCGACTATGTGTTCCATGTTGCTCACTCCGAGATTCAATTATTTGGGAAGCACATAATGGTGGATTAGCTGGTCATTTTGGTAGAGACAAGACTTTAGCTCTTGCTAAAGAAAATTTTTATTGGCCAAAGCTGGAGCAGAATGTCATTCGTCACATTCAAAGATGCAAAGTTTGTCACCAAGCCGAGACACAAAACACAGGGTTGTATTTGCCATTGCCTATCCCAACATCACCTTGGGAAGATGTTAGCATGGATTTTGTCCTTGGTCTACTGCGAACCCAATGAAGCAAGGATTCTATCATGGTCGTGGTTAATAAATTTTCTAAAATGACTCACTTTGTTGCTTGTTAGAAAACTAATGATGCTTCTCTCATTGCTGAGTTATATTTTAGAGAGATTGTGCGTCTATATGGAGTTCCAAAGACTATCACTTCAGATAGAGATATGAAGTTCATGAGTCATTTTTGGAGGACTTTATGGAGAAAGATGGGTACTCAACTCCAATTCAGTTCTGCCAGTCATCCCCAAACCAATGGTCAAACTAAAGCTATCAACAAGATTTTGGGGAATCTACTACGAAGTTTTGTGGGAAAGAATTTGCAACAATGGGATCTTATGCTTGCCCAAGCTGAGTTTGCTTACAATAACTATTCAAATCAAGCTTCAGGAAAATGCCCATTCGAAGTAGTATATGGAGTGCGTCCTCTCAACCCTTTAGATCTTGCTCCATTGCCCACATCCCGACAATTTAGTGCAGATGCTGAACAACGAGCCAAGGAGATAAAGAAACTTCATGAAGAAGTTTGTGAAAAGCTACAACGTCAAACCATCAGGTATAAGGCTCATCATGACAAGCACCAAAGGAAGGTTGTGTACAAGGAAGGACATTGGGTTTGGATACACCTTCGGAAGGAAAGGTTTCCTAACCAACCTAATGCCAAACTCTCCCCTAGAGCAGATGGTCCTTCTTAGATAGTGGAGAAGCTCAATGATAATGCTTACAAGATCAAACTCCCAGGTGACTATGGAGTCTCTACTACTTTTAATGTCACTGACTTATCTCTTTACTATGAGGATCATGAGCATTGATCTCAAACTCGAGGATGAGTTTCCTCCAACCAGGGGAGAGGCACTAGGAGAAATTACTAAGAAATTGCAACAAGCATGTAGAAACTACACTGCAGCACCACCAACTATAATAGGCCAGCGCAACTTTGTCAAAAGTGGCCACCCAAGTCCACGAAAATGGCTAACTCCCAACTATATTTTGCTTTACATTTAGTACCTTAGTTGAATTTTGCCTATAAATAGCTATGTTGTGTGCATTAGTTATCACCAAGTTTTAGTCAAAATTTCAGTTTATAATTCTCCTTTGTTGAGTGAGTTTTGAGAGTGGATTTCTCTCAATTTATCTCTGTATCTTAGGTCTTGCCAACCTAAGTGGTGATCCTAGCAATCGAATTCATCATAGTGGGATTTTAAATTTCGCCAAAATCAGTGTTTCGATATCAGCTCCTACGCCAATATGACCTGCCAGCAGCATTAAAAACAAATTGAGCAATCAAAGTTACGCCAACGAAACAGAGAGTTACTGAAATATCATGCAACTGCATTTCGATAATATAGAATGTAAATTGTCGAGAATGCCTTGCCCTTTGATTCAATTGCCCAACTCAATATACATCAAGCAAACAAATTGTCCATTTAGCTAATATTAAAAAGGTCAATAACTTGGGGCAGCAGAAAAGTTGCAGCCTTTACACTCTCAGTGCATACAAGGTTTGATAAACCATCACTTCAAGAAAATAAACAGTACTTTCCTGCATTATAAAGGAACTCAAGCAAGACCCCAGTGAATTACTTCAATTAGACCCCTTCAGATTCATGAAAAGAGAAATTCAACTGAAGAGTGCATGTGAGAGCCCCCTGTTCTTAATTGTACCATATATTGAAAGTAAGGAAATAGCGAGTCCTTTGAAGGTCTTGTTGTGATTACATAGTAAGGTTCTTTATCAAAAAGCTTCATCAATCAAATCAGGAAACACAAATTAATGAAGGAAAAAAAAATGTAAAAAACCCATAAGACTTGAAGCAATTCAATTTAAAATTTCGTGAAATATATCCTAAAATAAGGAAAAAAAAAATTAAAAAATACTCAATAAATTTTAAGTTCAATTTAAATTAAAGTTCTATATCTTCATTGTCATTTGTCTATCACAAACAATTCAGTGAGACATTTATGCTGAATAAGGAAAAAAAAAATGGAGGAGAGGACGAGGGAACTATAAGCAGCCCAAATGAACAGGCCAGATTAGCTTCGCTCCTTCAAATGAAAAGCCATTGGTAGCCCAAACAGAAAAGCCCTTCGGTCTCAGGATGTAAATAAATTGGATTCCTTCACATCGATTGTTGGCCAAGATTTATGTTGTTTAGTGGTAGAATTAATTCTTAAGTTGGATCTATTAATAAATAAATATAATCATATATAATGAGTTTAAGTTCAAGTCTTATTAGTATCAACATCCAATTAAATATATTTATTCTTTTTGGCGTGAAAATTATGCACTTAAAATTATTTTGAAAGAAGCTAGTAAGGGTTCATATTTAAAAGTTCAACTTTTGCCTTATAGGTATTGTGGGGATCGAGGTAGGCTTCAGTTGAGTCTTCGGAGGATGAATTTCGAAAGGTGGAAGCGAAGCTTGCCGAGACTACCGGCATGGTGGCCCTGCCGTTTCAATTATTCTGCTGAGGCGGCTGTACAGGCGCAACTGTATTAAGAACAAAAACAGTAACAAATGCTAATGTAAGATTATGCAACCCCATTTGGGTCGGTAAGGGAGTAGAGCATCAGGAAGAAAACAGGTAAAAAAAATGTTACCAACCATTTACAGATTTCTAGTAATTCTTATTGAACTTTGAAATATCAACGCGCTTTTCATCGATCTGTATCCACGATGAAACGATTTAATGCAAGGGTAAATGAAGTCAAGGATGGCGTGTCCTGCGTGAATATTGGAAAAGTTAGTCTTACGATGAAAGGCAGACTTTGGGGGAATAAGGGGTGTTTGGTGGAGTTTATTTCACTTTTTGCGTTGCCAAAAGAAAATTTTTTTCTCACTAAAACTTACTTTTTAACATTCTTTGGAGCTTATAAGCAACAAGCTCCAAAGGAAATTCAAATAGAACAAAATGATGAGAGGCATTGTTTTTAATTCTAGCCTCTTTGTTTAGACATGAAGAGGAACGGTAAAGAAATGAAAAAAATGAAGCCTCCAGTATGTAGTTCTTGTAAAGTTGTTTTTCTAAAATTTGCTTATAAACTCTTTAAATATTTAAGAACATCTAGTTTTCCCTCCAACAAAATTTTAAATTGGTAACCAAAAAATTAGTATGAGAAGTTGTGTATGGGCTTCTGGTGAGTTTTGGGAGGAGGATGGACCTGGAGAAAAACCTGAACTTGGCACGGCCGAACCACCTGCATTGCAGCAATTAATCCCCAAAAGATATTTTCTCCCCAATACTCGTCATCTTCTCCCACGGACCGCAAGAGATTATAAGAATGCTACTTAATTTCACCCATTAGCAACATTAAAACAATGCAGTTTAATTACATCCATTCTGTTTAGCTGAATTTTATTTTATTTTTTAAGGGCGTAAGCTGTATATTAGCTTATAAACTGTTTTTCCTTTTTCTTCTGTTTTTTTTTTTTTTTTTAAATCGGTTTAGCTTTCACGCTGTTGTCCGTGTCAAAGGACTTGGTGGAGATCTAGTGCAGAAAGTCGTGTTTATTATTTTCTTGATGTAATGGGGTATCAAACCTTCAATTAAACCCCCCACAGACGGTTAGTGTTGAATTAATGAGGCCAGAGTCTACGTTTTTCTCCTAATTAATAAGACTATTCCAGCAGGGGCCACTTCAGGTCTGCCGAAGAGACGACTTTGACTCTGTTTACCTTCGCATTCAGATAAAAAACCGCGTTGATATTTCAAAGTTGATCGGTAAGAACTGTCATTCAAACTGAGCTAATATTAGCAATTCCCAAATGGATAATATTTATATTTTTGTTGATATGTTTTCTGCTTGATGCTCACCCAAATGCCAAATCAAATGGGTTTGCATTATCTTTCAGCAACTCCTTGTTTCTTTAGAGTAGCAATGGTTACTGTATTTCTTCTCAATACAGTTGGTTCGGCGGTACCAAGTTCAGGTCCTTCTCCAGGTCCAGCTCCATCCTCCTCGCAAAACTCACCAAAGGCCGTCCTAGATCTGCACAACATGTATCGAGCAGAAGTTGGTGTTAGGCCTATGACTTGGGACAAGGTGGTGGCGGCGTATGCACAAAATTTGGTCAATCGAATGATCGCAGACTGTGGTCTTATCGTTTCAGATGGGCCTTACGGGGAGAACAATTTATTGGTATCGGACACCAACCTTTCGGTAACAGACGCAGTGAAGAGGTGGGGTGATGAGAAGGATCAGTATGACTTTAAATCGAACACCTGCGTTGGGAGTTTCTGCAATCATTACACTCAGATCATCTGGGGGAGCTCAATCCGTCTTGGGTGCGCAAAAGCAATATGCAAAGATGGTGGGGCTATTGTCGTTTGTTGCTATGACCCTCGTGGAAACCTGCCTGGCCAGCGCCCCACAGGAGGAGGAAATCAATCAACGCCGCCAGCAACCCCGCCAAGCTCCGCTGTTGCAGACCCACCAACAATACCTCCAGGGGTAAATAACTTTCCCTTTCAACTAGGAAAGAAGAGGAATGGAATACTAGTTGGGTCAATTGTTGGGGTATGTGTTTTTCTTTCTGGTTTAGGTTTTATACTCTTCTTGTGCTGGAGAAAGGGGAAAGATAGTTCACTAGATGAAATTTCCTTTGATGTTTCATTCCGTGATGAATTTGGCAATGGCATGGGACCTAGCGAGTTCTCCTACAATGAATTGTCTATAGCGACAAAGAATTTTGCGGGTGAGGAGAAGTTAGGTGAGGGAGGATTTGGGTCGGTTTATAAAGGTTTCTTGAGGGATTTAAATACAAATGTTGCAGTTAAAAAGGTTTCAAGGAGATCTAAACAAGGAATTAAGGAGTACATATCAGAAGTGAAGATTATTAGTCGATTAAGGCATAAGAATTTAGTAAAGCTTATAGGTTGGTGCCATGAAAAGGAACTCTTACTTGTTTACGAGTTCATGCCTAATGGCAGCCTCGATACCCATCTTTTCAAAGGAAGAAGTCTATTACCATGGAAGCTTAGACACAAAATTGTGCAAGACTTGGCATCAGCATTGCTGTATTTGCACGAAGAAGGAGATTTTTGTGTGCTTCATAGGGATATTAAAACCAATAACATTATGTTGGATTCCACTTTTAATGCCAAACTTGGGGATTTTGGATTAGCTAGGTTAGTTGATCATGAAAAAGGATCACGGACAACTTTATTGGCAGGAACCATCGGTTATATTGCTCCTGAATGTCATAGAACAGGCAAATCAAGTAAGGAATCAGATATCTACAGCTTTGGAGTTGTAATACTTGAAATTGCATGTGGAAGAAGATCAATAGAGCCTAGATATGATGAGGGTCAGGCCTCATTAGTGGCTTGGGTGTGGCAGGCGTACGGTAACCAAAGGCTTCTTGATGTGATTGACAAGAAACTTTCTGAAGATTTTGATTTGAAGGAAATAGAATGTTTGTTGATTGTTGGCTTATGGTGCGTGCATCCTATTTACAATATGAGGCCGTCTATCGAGCAAGCAATACAAGTGCTTAATTTTGAAGTGTCATTGCCAAATCTTCCAAGTGAGATGCCTGTTCCCAAGTATAACATTCCTAATACTCCAACCATCAAAATAAGTGAGCCATGTTTGTCCAAAATGAGCATTACTGTTCCTCGCTAATTTTCTTACCTTGCTTAGAACAAAATTGATTTGATAATAAATAATTGTAATGTGCCCTCAAGCATGGTTATTGTCACACATAAATGAGTTATATTTGATTTTTTTGTTAAAAACATATATAGTTGACAATTATAGTTGATAATCGATAAAATAATTGATATTTATTATTTAATTATTTAAATTAAATTTATAAATTGATATTTTTAAATATTATAATTAATTGTTTAAAAAAAGTATAAATTAATAAGACGAGTCGAATCAAA